TAGAGAGCTGGTACGCCCTACCAGTGTATTCAACTGGAGTTCATATGGAAGTAGCCTCGCTGTTGGTACTTTGAAAAGACCAAATAGGTCGTACTACAGACTTCTTCGTACTGTGGAGGAAGTAAAAGTGTAACATTCCGTCATATTAGAAGAACGGTAGTAAGAGAATAGCATTGATGTACAGTCTAACTCCGTCGCTGGTCTCATGGTCCCTCATATGCCTTTTGTCACCTTTATGGGCCTGCGTAGACTGAGTTCCTTTTTACTCGGTACAGTGTCGCACCATCAACTATGGAGCGAATTCGGCTTTAATTCGTTGCAATAACGACTAGGTTTTCTTGCATACCCTTGTGGTAGTGCCTTGTGGTGTGCCATAAGAGACGCACTGGTGAGCTTTCAAAATCCCTTGCAATCACCACACCACACCTGCTGTGGTTGACTGATTCATACCTGCACATCGCTTTTCGCCTTGAATCATTTTGTCATTCTACCCTGATCGAAATAATCATGCCAACAGGTGCCACAGACGGACAAGAATAGTTCCAGCGATGTCGTTCCGAGGAAATACATACAGATGCATAGAAGCCAAAAACCGTATGAATGATTGCGGTTTCACGTGATGTTTGTGTTCGTCGATGGCGTGGGGCGATGCGTCGTCCGCAGCAGCAGTCAGTACGATCAATCCGTCAGAACATTTGAAACAGTCCATTTCTATGGGCACATGGACAAAGAGCGGAGGGGTACAAAAATAGCCGTCATTCATCACACCGAAGCCACAAGTCCCAACGTATGCCACCTGGTCGAACACGATGGCATTATCACACATTAAAATGATGCAATTATGTTCGGACAAGCTGCCTCGGGAACCTATTCACTGTTTCGCCGCCTAATACTAGAATAATTATACGATGCGTTTTGTACGCAGGCAGGATTTTCGCATCGATATATGTGCGGTCGAAACCAGTCAGTAGCAATGTGGACATACGAAATTCCATTGTTGTCTGTTGTAGTCTCCAAGACTCAGAGCACGCCAAGAAAAGGGCACCAGAGCGACCAGGTGCCATCAGTTCCGACCGAAACACTTTAGCGTTTATCCTGAAGTTGTCATGTGGAATTCATCAAGTTTATGCAGTGTTTGATAGGGCATTTTGGCTCTCGTGTTATAATTCAACTCTAGATGGATAACACAGGATGGATAACGTGGGTGGATGACGTAGCAGTGTGATCGCAATAAGTGAAGATCCGAGCCGTTTGACGGAAATTTGGCGAGTCATTAGTTCATTTATGACACGATCGTCGTAATGACAAACAGCAAGGAGGGAAACGAGAGGAGCCCAAATACACTAAGTTCCTTCTAACAAGTTCATCTGCATCCATTCTGTCTCCTGGCTGTTATGAGGCCGTTAGAGCGAAAAAATAGGCCGGAAAATGCAGACGAATTCGCGTCGGTCACAGTAGCGAAAGTGCGTACTTTTAGGGCTCGTATCACTGTGCTGTGGCGTAAACAGGCCTTCCCGAATGTGCCCCTCATCCGGCTAACTATCCGATAGCTCATGTGAGGACAGTAGCTATGGCAAAAGAATTGTACAACCGCTATGTTGGCCCTGATGACAGTACTCTCGCTGCGGTTCACTTAGGAGACACGATGTTCTGGTGCTGCGTGAGTTTCCGACACAGTGATAAGGTCAGTCACTGTTCGCCCTAAGAAATCAAGGTTGCCAGAGCAAAAGAGGACAAAACCAAACGGAGGAAACATTGTTTAACCCATGCGTGGATTAATCCGTGTGAAACAGATACTCCCCGTATTTCGCAGAGTAACATCGTGGATGCCAGTGCGATGCCGCACATAAAGGACCAATAGTATTCACAATTCACACATGCAACTGCGACGCGGCAGACCTGCCACCATCAGAGTTCTGAAACAGACCGATGTGGCCGCAGTAAATTCACGTGAAAACGTGAGTTACAGTGTGCTTTTGCGTTTGGTACATCATCGAGTCTGCAAATTAGACCGCGTTAAACACCTGGTAGCGCAACTACACAATGATATCGACTACATGGGGGGGGGACAGATTCTCCATTTCGAGGCAGAAACTGGCAGACTATTCGCAGAGAATTCCACAGTCCAATGAGGGTGCTCATGTGAGCGCTTCCTCGAACGATGCATGACCACTGTTGGTTATATCCCGAGACCGCCACTTCATGGGCCGATGTACTGGAGCCGCGGTTAGTCGTTTTCGTTTCACCTATGTTGCCACTGTCTCAACCTTGAGACCACGACGCCTAGGTTACTGAAAACAGAAACTCTTGGGAATAGATGCACCAGTGGAAGATGAACAAGGTGTTTCAGACGCATCGTAAAAAACGGTTAGCAGTCGGATCTGCCGTAAGGAAAGCAAACCGATTGAACGAATATCTTGGAAATCTTTGTTCCTCATGATACTTGTTAGCTCAGTGATACCCTTAAGTGGAGTCAGTAAGCTAGATTCGGAAGGTCTCAATCAATCATACCCTGTTGAGGTGGCAACCTCATTACTATGCACAAGAGAACGAAAGACATCAGTAGTTACCTTACGTCAAATCACCATATGAGCCCTTGGTAAAGCTTTCTTCCATAAGGAAACCCTATATGGGTTATTTAGGTGTCCGCTTCAAGCGGGTGGATTGACAAACCATATTTAGCTGAGGAAAACGCCTGGATGTGGCCGCAGTAAATTCACGTGAAAACGTGAGTTACAGTGTGCTTTTGCGTTTGGTACATCATCGAGTCTGCAAATTAGACCGCGTTAAACACCTGGTAGCGCAACTACACAATGATATCGACTACATGGGGGGGGGGGGAACAGATTCTCCATTTCGGGGCAAAAACTGGCAGACTATTCGCAGAGAATTCCAAAGTCCAATGAGGGTGCTCATGTGAGCGCTTCCTCGAACGATGCATGACCACTGTTGGTTATATCCCGAGACCGCCACTTCATGGGCCGATGTACTGGAGCCGCGGTTAGTCGTTTTCGTTTCACCTATGTTGCCACTGTCAACCTTGAGACCACGACGCCTAGGTTACTGAAAACAGAAACTCTTGGGAATAGATGCACCAGTGGAAGATGAACAAGGTGTTTCAGATGAAATCCGTTTGCCTCACGCATCGTAAAAAATGGTTAGCAGTCGGATCTGCCGTAAAGAAAAGCAAACCGATTGAACGAATATCTTGGAAATCTTTGTTCCTCATGATACTTGTTAGCTCAGTGATACCCTTAAGTGGAGTCAGTAAGCTAGATTCGGAAGGTCTCAATCAATCATACCCTGTTGAGGCGGCAACCTCATTACTATGCACAAGAGAACGAAAGACATCAGTAGTTACCTTACGTCAAATCACCATATGAGCCCTTGGTAAAGCTTTCTTCCATAAGGAAACCCTATATGGGTTAATTAGGTGTCCGCTTCAAGCGGGTGGATTGACAAACCATATTTAGCTGAGGAAAACGCCTGCGTCAGTCACAGACTACCTCCCGCTGATTGCGGGCTGCAAACCGAATCTGGTCAGGGGATTCATAACATTTATTCCCCGACCACCCTTCGTTGCATCATCTCACTGAATCGATGCTCTCAGAGCCCTCATACCCAAGTTGGTCTCCTCTCACGATACGAATAAGTAGAGCGAGGGAAACACAGAATATGCCGGAAGCACAGATCAGTGAACACAATGACAGTAAGAGCGTGATTTCATCCTGCCAGTGAGGTCAGTCTACGTCGGAAAACAGAGTACCGTAAGCATCCCACGAAACATTGCTCCTCACCGTAGACCGGATTCACTGAAAGGCCGAGATCCCAACTGATAATGACAGTGACCAGACAATCTTACGACGCCCCTCGGTTCATGCGCTAAAAACGGTGCTACATCTGAGCCTAAGTGTCATTAGTCTAGCCATCAGCATAAGAGTACAAAATGTTCCCACGAACAATCCTGTCCAATCGGATTCCAGCGGAGTTGCACTAACCACACTTGATCCAGTGAAACAAACCATACTCGCTGAGACTCCTAATGGATGGATAAGTTAAACGAACCACTTCTTCACGCGACTGCTGATCACACCTAACTACAGACATGTATCCGATACGGACGTTCGCGACCACCAACAGCAAGAAAGCAGTATCAGCATTTGCACTTATCCAATACACTCCACTCCACTGTACACACAAGTGCAGCATGCAAGTTCTCGAGAGAACATTTTTGCCGGATCCCAACACAAGCCATATTCCAAGTCCTCAGCCTGAGTTGAGCCGTTCCCACACACCACACGACTGTTCCCCATCCAAACAAATGAACCTGACGGCTTATAACCAGCGACAAGTGCTCAAATGGCGCCCCTACCCTTACTCGCTCACTCACCAATTTCTCCTCAAAAGATATCTGACATCACCGTAGACAAGAAAAACACATAAGCACTGCAAACGTCGCGCTGTGCATGACAATACGTTATTATTAACATATACCTCGAAATAAGGATGGCACATAGTTCACACATTAAATAAAGTAACAACATAGAAGAAGGATATTAGACAAAAACCATCAACAGTGTTCCATGAACCGGTACGGACAGTACTTGATCGTGTGGGCCAAATCACCTGTCGACTTGCATAGAGGGCAGGACAGTAGGCGCAAGACTGGGCACGTCACACGTCCGGTCGCGTCCTTCACCTATGCAAACGAACAAACATTAAGCACTTAGGCAACAAAAGGCGAATCCGTACGGTCGAAACTCGATGTGAGAAACGACCAGCTTACCTTGTGCGTGACGTAGATTTCGAAGGGTTCGCCATTGTTCCGACAAAAGGCACACAGGTCGATCCCCTCTTCGCTTTTGTGCCGTACTGCGACTCGAAGGCGTCGCACGAAGTTACTCAGACCGGCAAGTTGCGACTGTGAAATCCTTCTTCCGCCGCATCCCAATACAGAAAGGCTATAGATCACAACAGGTGGATAGTCAAAAGCAACTTACTGTCTTTCCCACAGTTCCAGCTCGTTGTCTAACTCGGTCCACTTGGTAAGCGATTTTTGCTGAGTAGGTTTACGGGATATGGGTTCTGGACGACCAGTGGGCCGTTCGACGAACAATCGACGTTCGGGACTGCTACCACCTGTGGTTTTTCCAAGGCCGTGCATTAAACCGCAATCCGCAGACAAGCTGTCATACACATTTGTTACAGCTAAATAATGAGGGAACCAAACCGCTCACATCCACCACCATAACAAATTACCTGTGTGATTCGTTGGCGAAATACTCAGGCGTGCAAGTAGCGTGGCGACAGAACTTCCGTCCCATTCGGCCGAGAGACTACTGGTTGACGTCGAGCCGAGTGAACAAGATAGTGGTGACCATGATGACTCCACCGTACAACTGGAACTCCCCGGAACGGTAGAAATGTCCATAGGATCCGATGTCCTCCAGCTAGGTAAGGCAGGCGACTCAGGAGTCGAGCGAACCACGGACCGAAGGTGGCTAAGTTGGCAGGCTGATTGGTCATGCTAATTTATGGTGCACCCAATTGGCGCAACCAATGGCATCATGGTCTTACTTGTATCCCATTGGTCAATAAGTCAAGGCGGCGGATCAGGCAGCCTGACCTCTCCGAATGCTATCAGCTTGTCAGGCTGGTGCCATCAGCCTGAAAGCTATTGATTTGTCTAAGGCAAGAAAGCACCGGTGGCCATATAGACCGATAAAATGGAGCGAAGGTAATCCTACACTCCAGCAGTAGCGTGCTCACTTTGAATGAATTGGGTTTACGGTTTCTGAAACCCTTCAAGTTCGCAGTCATCTTGTTAATGCCTATGCAGCAAGAGGGAAGCTGAGCGCTGCGCAACTCCATCGACGTATGACGGGAAATAACCGGTTTTTATCGCCATTTGGTTAACCAGAAGTGTTTGCAAGATGCTGGCTAAGGACAACCAGGACGCATGTTCTCAATCGGGCCATTTAACGTGATTGTAATCCAGGCAGCACGCTTGAAATAAGCGCTAGGTTTTCGTCTGTATTCAGCGTAACGATAATTCACCATGGTAAAAGTGATGATTTTTTTCTAAGAAAGCATCCAGTGACCATTTAAGGAATCTTGAACCAAAGTGATTCTTCGATGCTTGCATTCAGCACTGCTGCCTAAGCCACATTGTGTTTGCTGTCACAACGACGTCTTCATGTTTTGTTAGAATCTACCTTAATTGAAATCGTCTTTCAGACTTCCGTAAGCATTCCTCAATTTTTCTCATTTGTCCGTATGGTGACATAAGTAACGCTTGTGCATAAACTTTATTGCTTAGCGTTGTTAGGAGTGCGAAAAACACATCTCAGTAGACGAATAACCTACGATGATGTCCTCTGATGAGCGTATATTTTTCCGAATATGTCAGAAAAGGAGGGGTTGATAACAGCTTTCCCAAATCGCGGTCGCGGATAATAGGTTTCTATCCCCAGACCCTGTACCAATGCCTGATTCAAGTCCATCCAAACTTCACGCGTGTAACTCTCGAACAATGTGTCTTAGTGGACCGAATGCAGGATGTATGGTTCTTTTCGTAAGCCCATTTGCAACGCCACTCTTGCGTGGTCGCGGCATCACAACATGGAGGCCTCAGAGTTGCATAGGTGAGTTTTTACAGGCTTGCATACGAAATGTGTCAGTGACGGGCTGTCCCCATACTTTATTGTTCTGATCAATCAACATCAATGCACATTTGAGCATTAGGCCCTTGAATCATCCTGTTTGCTGCAGGATGATGTCCAGACTGTCCCGTTAATTTCATCCAGGATGGTAGGTTACGGCGTTTCCAAAGTAGTCGCTTCCGTTTCAAGATTCCGACACTGGAGCAAAATTACGGACAGAAGGGTTCACGTTGCCGGGGTTGACACAACTTTAAATTTGCATCTGCCACACTTGTACTACTTTCAAAATGATCCTTTTAGGGCACTACTTTGTTCGCTTTCGCATGGGTCTTTAGCGAACATATTATTCCAGGCTGAAACGTTCGACTAAAGGACACAGTTCGGTTTTCGGTTTGTTCGCCGAACTCGGCATCAAGCCACAGACCAAGCAGTGCAATCGATCTACCCATATTCTATAAGGAATCCGCACTGGTAGATCCTAAAGTATGTGGTGTAAAAGGTCCATAATGGCTTCAATGAAGAGATCAACTATGACCATCAACTGGTTCATATCTCATTCGGATATACAGCGACTTTTTTCATGCGTATACCAGCCAGTGAATTGCCCACGTGCATCCTTCTGGTGTATGGTGCATGGTTTCATTCCTCGTTCCAATCCGGTCACTCTTTGCCTGCTCTTCGAACCACCCAACTGTGATTTTTCATATCGTAGCATGAAGAAAGACTAAAAAATGATCAAACACGACATAACCACTAGCCTTGTGGAATTCGCTCTCTAAGCGAACCTCTTTCTAGTATGAATTGAGTTCAAACCTAAGGCCATCCACTGTATTCGACCAATCATTCATTAGGCAATATTAAACAAGAACACATTGTCTGACTCGACAAGATGGGGCGGCATTCATCAACCTACCGACCTCCAGGTTTTTGCTCAGTTACCCATAGAGTCTCCCAACTTCTCTCCAAGTGACTAACAGCAGTTGATGTCTTTTTAACGAGTAATGCCATCCATATAGAGTGACGAAGGAATTGATAGGTCATGAAATAAGGAGCCCAGTTGCAAATATTATGAACAAATCGATGTTGAAAATCCGAAAACTACTGCACAGACACTTCATCCCTTTTGGGAATCATCAGCATCTCACGGAACTCCAGGGAGTCTTGAACCGACGGTTTCCCTGCTTAACAAGACGCTTGATCAGTCCAGCCCAAAACCCAACTTATTGATCGGTCCGCCGAGTTCTGACCCGAAAAGTCAGTTGTGGTCGCGCCTTCATAACTAAGAGTGGAAGCCAACCACAGCACACCGACAATGACAAGGTCACTTGGGTCGCAATCACCACCATTACCGGCTCACTGACTTGTCATAGTTCTCATTCGCACCACCCTGCTTGCGTACAGAACCCAAGCCGTAGCGTAGGCATGGAGGGGGGGTAGGCGGGGTAAAAACAAAAGTGAATCGGTCATTTGACCTCTTGTGCGTCAAGCGACAAGACCGTTCTGACACGGAGTGCAAAATGTAATTACCACCGGCCCTATTCAAGCATCACACATCTATTGGGGTTGGTTTACTGGATAAGAACTCAAAGCAACCACTCAGATGTGAAGTTGTTCACTTGCTCAGATGTGATAACTCGGTTGAGTTCAGTGTGGGGTGGTGGAGTTGTAGTAACACGCCGGCCGGTCTTGCAGGTCAGATGTCTGCAGTTCGAATCTCTGTACACTGATGAGTTCTACTGCAGGCGGAATTCGAGAACATTGGCTTAGCCGGTGAGTGCAGCAGCAATCGCGTCGTGACGGGAAGAGGACTGTTCAAACATGAATCGCACAATTCGCGCAAGAAATAATAGTTTAGATTCAGCATCTTTCGGTTCACAGCTGCCATGCCACCTCAAGGAAGCATGAGGACTAAGGTACTGTCAGGTTTCCGCATCCTAGTATACAGGAGTAGTTAAGAAGAATAGGTTGGTTATGAAGTATGGGGGATTCATCGATGTAACACGAACTTCACTTGTGAGTTGGTAGCCCTGCAGTGTGTATTCGCGTGAAGAAATTCCCTTCATTAGTCAGACACTGCTAGGTCACAAAATGTTGGTAAAGCCTATCCGCTAAACAGTGAGCGTCAAGTAATTTACATACGAATAAAAACGATTTGTAAACTCCTGCTGGCATGAGGGCCAAAGTGCTGCCAGGTTGCCGAAACCTAGTATACAGGATTAGTTAAGATGAAGAGGTTGGGGAACTAATGGACTAACTAGCACCTACTAACAAACGTAATAGACACTGTAGCCCTATGACAGCATCAGTGCAACACGTATTGGAAAACAGGAGCCGAGTGAACCCCACATCAACTTGACACAAATGGTACTAGAGGCAACAGACTGAACTAAACCGTCAGATTCCATAAAGAGCTGTTTTTTGCTACCAATTGCATGTCTAAAGAGACCTCCCACCGTGACGGACCACGCCATCAGCTTTGCTCATCGCATTCTGTCATCTGATTACGATTCAGTCGTGGGACGGCAGTCGATGTCGCATATCCAGAAACAAGTACCTCGCAGGGAAGACCCGGTTGGGCAGTGGAGAGAAGCCTCCATCTTCAGGGGGAATGATTCATTCTAATTTTCGGACCATTCCAATTGTCGCTAGCCAAAATAAGTCGAACAGTTGTCTGACCTGAAAATAGCGGTTTCATTTCATAGTAGAATCACTGTTCATGGAGAAGCGTTCCAAGTGGTTTTCACAGTCGGGAACGCAAATTTTGCCCCACATTGTACCTGTTAGATGCCGCAATTCGTTCTCCAGCCACACTGTGAATTGATTCTCAGCTTACGATATCACATCTTGATTTGAATGACATCAGAGCTTGCATTCATGCCATAATCACCATTCGGATTTCCTTGCAGTTTGTTTCCATGTGTTTTAAAAACCAACGCTTTCAAGCACCTGAGAGATGACAAGGCTTTTAATGCCACGGGACGTCACAGAATATCTGATTGAATGGGTGCACCAAAGCGACCAAGAGCAGTCCATTCGGTATTTCCTTAGGATTCTAACCGCGAAGTTTAGATGTATCGATAAACGTTTTCCTGGTTAAAACCTCAAGTTTCACCTGAGTCCGTTGTGATAATCCTCCAAAAGGAAACCACTGACTGTACACTGAAAATTTTGACTCCATATTCGAACACATTCTTTTCCACAGTCTCATTTCCATTGACACGGGTCATGGAAATACATTCATGATGCGGGAAATTTGCAGAGGATTTCTGTCGGGCCTTCGGTGAACGACTGAAATCATGAACTCACAAAGATTCTATGTAATACACATTTCACTACGCATGAGGATTATGTATGACAGCGAGTGGTCACGACCGTTCCGAGTTTGGCGGAGTTGATCGGGATTCGAGTACACCTTCATATCACTACTGCAAAACCGCACGGAATCATGAATGAACCTGCAAAACCGACAGATAATAAACATTTTGAGTCGAAATGGTAACCTACCGCGTGTAAAGCTGATCCTGCAAGATGTATGCACACTCGAGTAGGCCGGACGTGACGAAACAGTCAGATCAAGCTGAACAAAAGCTGCCCAACTAGGAATGGGTTCCGATTACTGAAGTATGGGGAATTCCACCTTGCAGCACAAACGTAGCTTGTGAGTTGGTAGCCCTGCAGTAGGTATTCACGTGAAGAAATTCCGATCATTAGTCAGGCACTGCTAGGTCACAAAATGTCGGTAAAACATACCCATTACACAATGAGCGTCAAGTAATTTACATGCGAATAAAAACGATTCGAAGACCCCTGCTGGAGTCTATTCGGAAATCGATTCGGTGAATTCAGATCCAACTGAAGCTACCATGCTTATAAGGATTGTGTGAAAGCAGTGAATCGCGACGGCTAGCGGTTTAGAGATCAGTCAGAAAATATTAAGGACATCATTTCACACACACACGCACACACAAAAATAGTCAGTTCCATATTCGAAAAACACTGGCCGAAGGCATTCTGCGACCTTCTAAAGCCAGACTAGCTCAGAAACCGCGTTCCTTCCGGTATACCATGATCCTATGTTCCAGGTAGTTCGGTTCATCGAGGGCTACTGTGCTTGTTTCCGCTGCGCCAACTCATCCATACATTTCGGTTTGAAGTCATTTAGTAACAAGACAATGAAGAACGTAATCCAGAATGAAACCCTATTACTCTGCACAGTAAAGTTAACTCAGCTCAGGAATGCTGGCTTCTTCTGCCAGTGGGTACCGAGTGTCGCCAGGACTATACCAACCCGATTTTTGCCTTCTCCAAGGTGTCAGTTACAAGACAGTCATTCGCAGTCATCAAGAGACATTTTAAAACACACTGAACCTCCAGATTTTGTTTTTTTTTCGGCGCCCACATGCCAGTAACAATCAACATTGCACTGGTGAGTAACCGAGGCTATTTGCTTTTATATTGGGTTTTATGTGTTAGCGACGTGGAGATACAACCAAAGGTTGGAACCAAAACACAAACCATGTGACACTGTCGAGTTGAACACTATCTTGGGCTACTAGATAATCAGATGACCAACCCACAAATGTCTCCGCAGATTTCCGGCTCAGCATGACATCGGCAGAACTTCACTGATAGAACATTTTACGGGAAATGACAGCAAACATAAACTGGACATCTCGTACCTGGTCGTAAAATTTACCAGTTGTAGGCCGCTAATTTTTTTTCGAATGTCATATATGAGCCCGATTCACTGTTCGCTTTGACCTCGAAGCCGTAGGCGAGCTTGTGAAGATTGGGAAACTATCCCCACCCATGCGATGCAGATAGTTGAGGACGGCAGGGGTACAAGCCCGAATAATCACGCTTTGCACTGACTCCACACGGGCGAAATGCACCGACTGCCTTTTCTGAATTCTGTTGGAGTTTCTCCGGTTATTAGGCCTACAGGCGCCGAGAGACCCCATCATGCCTGACCGTCGAAACGCTGTCGACCGGAACAGCTCCCAGCCGACACCCGCGTCGAAAGCAAGATTACCCGAGGAACTGCCATCGAACAAGGTCCGTTTTCTATACCCGTAAGGCTACCCATGAGGTGAACCAGCAAGGCTCGCGTGTGATGGCGGCCGGTGGACCCACGACAACCAGGCCGTTTGCTCCGTGACCGCCGCGAGTTGACAAGGCCTACTGGCAACACAACGCTCTTAGCTGTAAGAACTTTGCAATCAGAATAAGACTTTTTTATACCAAGACGTTGACCTGGTTGCATATGAGCTCAAACCAAAAAAAACACCCTAATCTACATCCATATTTCCGCAGCCCACCGAATTCCATTGTCCACCGAAGCAACCATACATTCGCCGGAATAAGTCTGGTGAAGTACTCTCCTAGCGTCGCTGAGACACCCGAATGCCTAGACAGGGCTCAACAGTTTGGAACCGTACTCCGAACTCAATTGTTTGTCCCTTTTAGTCCAACAGGGGCACACCGTAGCTCTCGAGAATTATATCCCATTGTGCGAATAACGGGAGCCGCGGATTGACTGACCCGAAGGCCGCGGTTCGAATCCTAACCACACCTCGCCTTTCAGAACCAAACACCTCCAACCAGGATACTTGACGGCTCTCAGAAATATCATTGAAGCTGCGACGAATCGGTCCGGGGTCGGTCGCTGGAACAAGGAGCCCGCAAATACCGGATACTGATACAGTGCATGTCGAAAGACCCCTAACGATACATGGACGAGACACTGACGTGAGACAAAGCGGTAGCCAGATCGGTGACTATAAGATCCGAAGACGTTACATTCCACCCATTGGAACTTAGAAAACCAGAGTAGCATAGCATAGCATGGTTATCATTACCGGGAAGTTACATCGACACTCAAAAATTAGGCACATAGTTGGCATACAAAAGTAAAATCATCGCAGGGAAAAACAAAAAGTTACATTCAAAACCTCTCCTTGCGGTTGAGAGGACAGTACTTGATTGTGTGTGCTGCGTCGCCTGTGGACTTGCACAGGGGACAAGAAAGTAGTCGTAAGACGGGGCATGTAACACGCCCACTGGCATCTCGAACCTATACGGAAAGAAAACGGTGATGAGCTCGCAAAATTTGCAAGGCCGATTGACGCGGGTGTGAATGAAGTAACGTACCTTATGTGTGATGTAGACATTAAAGTGTTCGCCGTTGTTGCGACAGAAGGCACACAAATCAAGCCCCTCTTCACATTTACGCCGCACTGTGGCCCGGAGACGCCGTACGAGATCGCCAAAGGCTATCAACTGCGAGCGTGGAATGGTTGCCCGGCCGGAACATGCTCTGGAAAGACTGAAATAGGAGAAACTGTCAATCCATTGTGGTTATAGAAACTCGGTATCTTTCGAAGGATGGATGCTTACCGTTTCTCCCACGCCTCCAGCTCCTTTTCGAGAGTGCACCAGTTATCCAGCGAGCCCTTCTGGAGTGATTTGGCGTATTCCGGCTTCACCTTTGATGGAGGCGGTTGGACTTGATATTTCATAGACCCAGTCGGAAGAGCCGATGACATCGGAGATGGATATGAACATGACCTGGAGGCGAAGTCCTTGGAGGTATTCATTCCTGAAAAAAATGAACGCAAGCCAGTGTACAAACGTCATACTAGACGACTGAATATGAGCAGCCGACAAACCAGGTCACAAATGAGTTAGTTACCTTGTACGTATGTTAGATGGCAGTCACGCACGCAAACAGTCGAACAGAAGCTAAATTTTGGAGAACCCGACGGAGATGACCATGGCGAGTTGTTGTCCATCCATAGACCGTTCGGAACCTTTGGAATGTCAAGCGGGTCAGTCGCGGTGCGCTCCCAGATGGTGGAAAGACGATTCGCTGACGCCTCCATCACAGGACAACGGGGGTAAAGTGCGGAAGCCGTGGTTTTATCCAGTGTCCACCTCAAAATTGGCCAATTACTGTAGTCGGAATGTCTCTCCTCTCATTGGTTGTTTTGTGCCCTTGATGACATCTTGGAGGCTGCACCGGCCAATGAGGTCACAGGGGTCACGAACCCATTTTCGAAACGGGCCAACAGACATTTGTGGACGCCCTATTGGTCAGCGTAGACTCCTGTCTTTGGCTTGCTTCTGGTGCACAGCCCCTCCCCCAAACGACGAGAGTGACACCGATTTGGAGAAATTCACCCATCTGCATATTAATTTTCTTTGCACTGGATCTCTCGTTTGTTGTTTTCTTAGGTTGAATGCGCTGCACAAACGCCACCTCATGTTACAGTTAGTACTACATTCGAGATACCCCGGTAAATTTCCATGGATGAAGCTACTCACAACATTGCGAAAACTCCACGTCCAGTTCCGCCAATCTTGGAACTCATCCTATAGGCGCAGTCCCTGAGTTTCCATCATATGAGAAACAAGGTATTCATTTGAGTCCCCCGTAAAAATCATACTGATGTGCATGTATGTGTATTCGTCGAAATCTGTCCAATTTGGGTTAAAGTGGAACTATGGAGGACTGCGCCGATTTGATGATCCCCAAACTAGGCGAAACTGGTCGTGGGCTGTCGAAGGGTTTTCAGCAACCATTTGAGTAACACCGTTTATGACACCGATTTAGATTTGCCTGTGAAGGGGGTGTCTGTGCATCCGTACCAAGTAGGGCCGTTGCACTGTCTGCCGCATTGTTGAAACTGGTCGGGGCTGTCGAAGGGTTTTCAGCAACCATTTGAGTAACACCGTTTATGACACCGATTTAGATTTGCCTGTGAAGGGGGTGTCTGTGCATCCGTACCAAGTAGGGCCGTTGCACTGTCTGCCGCATTGTTGACCCCGCGCCGACACCGTCGCACCATCATGGGACCGCGTTGATGCGTGGTTTTGGAGCGTGGCGCGATGCAATCATAGTCAAGCATATTTGTGGAGCGAGTTGAACACAAAAACACGGGAGACCCTATGTAGGCCGAGTTGTTTTTCTGTCCGTAGGCATTTGGGTTCGGGTAGAAAATGGCCAGGAATCTTTGGGTCCCTAAACATAACTGGGAGAGTAGTATTTTTGAAATTCCGTTGTTACTTACTGTACAGCAGGTTTCATGTTGTACTGGTTAGTCTTGTCTGATTTGATATCTTCTAAAATTTCCCGACATATACCTAATGCGATGGCAGTAGATAAGTGACTGAAGATCTTATGAAATTATATGAACTCACTTACTCTTCCTGGGAATTATTTTTGAGGGGGGATCACAGCTACTTCAAGTAATGTGGCTACCGGAAAATGGCGCTTATGGTTCCCTCAGATGCAGTGTGCGGAACAAGTTTGAAGCTTGTGGCAAGAGAAGATGCCATGTATGGTCACCGTCAAAAACTTCCGTACTGGCCTGCATTTTAGTACAGGAGTGAAATTGACAGTTTCCTGGTTTCTGATTGTGCACCTGACAATCCCGCCTTCTTCAACTGAGATCCAGTCCTTCTGAAAGTGTGTCCGGGGGGCTAGTAGAATCATGATGGATCACACCCATGTAATACACGACGGGATATCTTCTAAGATTGTCGTAAGCCATGTAGAAGAGACTGTTTCACCTGTGCTATGTGTGCAATCCCAAATAAGCCAGAAGACAACGGATCTCAAGCGCAGTTAGCCAGGTCCGTACAAGAACACATGATAAAGTATGCCAAGTATGGATAGTTGGCAGTCACATCAAGACGATTTGCACTACTTTCCAGTTAGCGGTTTATTATTCGCTCACCAAATGTTGACATGTAGAAGAACTGTTTCACCTGTGCTATGTGTGCAATCCCAAATAAGCCAGAAGACAACGGATCTCAAGCGCAGTTAGCCAGGTCCGTACAGGAACACATGATAAAGTATGCCAAGTATGGATAGTTGGCAGTCACATCAAGACGATTTGCACTACTTTCCAGTTAGCGGTTTATTATTCGCTCACCAAATGTTGACCATTTGCGGTTGCGGATCACGGCCTCATATGCTGACTTCCTCGCATAGCCCTATTTGATCAGAAGTAGCTCGATGAAGGCAATGCCGGAAGCTGTCTAGTATACGTCTATTATACGTCTAGCGATTATCACACAGTCTGCAAACGTCTACCGGGCTGTTTTATCCCGGACAATGGAGAAAGATGATTGTATCGTTTTTAATGGAAATATGGTCTGGTAGGAGGCCATGATGAGCCTAAAGTGTGTTGCTCAGCAAATCCAATCTGTCCCTATCCGAACAATGGAACAGAAGTCTTCCATGCTTGAACCCCATTCAGGTCACACGATGATGTAATCAACCAAGTATGCGGACCTCCCTGGAGTAAGACTTGCTTCTTAGGTCTTTAGAAGTGCCTGTTGGTCAGTGAAGTCAAAGAAGTTAACGGAAGTGCGCTATTACAGGCGTTACACCAGTAGAGAAGAAGACTTCTGCAGTTGAGTGCTTGCCGTCTTATACTATTATCTCAGCTTACAATCGGAGAAAAATATTAGCACTGATCAGTTAATAACACCATATCGTACATCAGACATTCGAGTACCTAACACTGTCATTCGTTGCCATGAACGGAGAGGATGACGTGATATTCTAACAGTGTAACATAGCCCTCCATAGCTCTTATATTATCAACGAGCGGTTTCCACTCCATCTCATAGGGCTATCGGATTGGCCTTACTAGGTTCTATTCGTCGAAAAGTCCTCGCTGTCTCGTGTTCTTCCCCTTCTGAAATGTAAGGGGCTAACAGCTGTTTGTGTTCCGCGCTTGTCAGTTTTCTACTTTCTGCACTTACCGTAGCAGATTGCTCACAGAGGTGCTTCGTTTGCTTGTCTTTACTGAGTGCAATTGTTGTTCACAGCCCAGTTAGTTTTGAAGAAAACCTGAACTAAGAATCCATTACTACACATCGGGACCAGATGCTCGCACAACATGACGTGGCAATAACCACATCGTTTTTGTTTCCTCAAACTGAGAGTCGCACTCCGGTGCGACTTTTGTCTGCGCGTCTGTCTTGCTGTCGTTGTTTTGATAAAGAAGCACTTACCAAGTATTTCTTAAACCGTAGGAAATTCCAACAGTTTCGCCATTTCGAAACTACGGGTCCTCACTGATGTACAGAACGAAAATCGATGCTGTGCAGGTCTACCTACGGCTTCTGCCACCCATAATTATGACTTGATATTGCTATATGAATGGAGCTGGAGGATGAATACAGAGGTATGAGGGATCGGCGATTGCTCCGTCCATTGATCAGGTAGTTATAGATCTGTTCGACGAGGTCGTTAAAGTTTGCCTCATCAAATGAGAAGACCCCATCAGTTCGCGATTGTGGGATCCTGTCCACCTAACCTTGGCTCCAGTTTGAACGAGAGCCAATCCCGCACTTACAATCCGATAGTGGGCAAGAGGTGCGCTTGAAAATCAGTGTTTCTTGGCGTCAGCTGTAGCTCTCTTTCGGTGTCTAATTGCCTTGCTACCCGAGGGAGGCACTGGGGTCGAGATATTGCCAGGTTGTCCAAGCATAGACAACAGCAGTCGGGATGAAGATGTCGGGTTCGAACCAGGGACTTTCTGGTCAGTAAGTTCACACGCTAACCACTTACCCATCTCGAGCTCTCCTCCAACTTATTAGTATTAGTGTTAGTGTCATTATTCCTACTATTATGTGGCAAAATCAAGTTTAACTCAGTTTTTTCGCATTCGTTTATGTTGAAAGTGTCGTGGAATAATAGTTCATGGATTGTCAGCATAGAGGATTTGCGCCTCCCTTCTATTGGCGTGGCCTGGTCTTAGACCTGTTGGGAACAGTATGCTTGTGTTCCTTGGGCGCCCCTTCTTTCTGTTTACCCCTCATGCTGGTGGTCTACAGAGAGAGAGGAAACCAGGTTGGAGATTGAATCGTGAGCTAAGTCGGAATCGCCGGAGTTCATCCCTGACATCAGGAATGATGAGTGGTTGTGTTGACATATCTGCATCAGGTGTCGTGTCCAGTAGCTTAACCCATTTTAATCAGTCGCCATCGGGTGTCAGACACACTCGTTCCCCCATTACCCAGCTTATTCCACAAGTAGTTCCAAACCTACCTTTCACCGGGACTTCTAAATGTAGGCCTAGAGCCATGTACAACCAACACAGCAGTAATTAACTTACCTAAGTGAAGGTCACTGCATGGTTTCGTTTGTTAGGTAAGGTGTTTGTGCTTACAACGAGACGATAAGTCGTGTTGAAACTTGTCATCCCAACGCATAATAACGTGCAGCGGTCAGTAGTGGAAAGCCTGTCCTGAAAGGGTTTGGAAACTCACCCGACCTGGTGTGGCATCCAATGCACGTTCAAGTGTTGGATGCTCTACTGGCCTCCTTGAGGTTATGCCTCACGGCCACGCGCATACATACACGAAACCACCGTTACACTCTTAAGCACGCACGCATTCATACTATAAGCCTTATCAAGCGTTATCAAGTTCTCATAACAGATAAGCGCAGACTGGCCGCCTCACTGACAGGACAAAATCTCAATTGAAGATAAGCTGAATGCTTCAGAACCCTGCTGCTTGTAGCGAGATGTACCAGAAGCTAAGTGCACACGCCTTACTCCGCTGACACTAGGCCGCCAATATCTGCAAACGTGCCGTGAACGATATCGTAGGGCGCCTTGCATACAGGACACATGCTTTTTTTCGGATAACGCTCTCCCAGTGACCAGTAGTATGTCGGGGCCTGTTGCTTTTCGTTTTATTGAATGCCTAGGGATCGTCGTCACACTTTCTTATTAGTTATAAACATCCGAATTTAGATTTACTCACAGCCACTCCATTTGGTAGGACTCCTGACAATCGGACGCTGCTGGTTATCGCATGTCCAATGTAAACTCATTGATCTGTCATCGACCGTCTGTCG